AAAATATAACTCCATATGAGGCTTTATTTTTCATTGTATTCACAGTACCTAGGGTAGTTTCTGGTATATGGTAGATATTAAATAAACCATTTTTGAATGAATGAGCTTATGCTTCCTTTCAAGTACTAGGGTTTTGGGTGACACACTTAAGGAGATAATTGTGGCAAATTTGGGAGATGATCGTGATGTCTAACACTCAATTTTAGGTATAACTTACACTGTGTGTGTAGTGTAATCTCTATCCATTACCCCCAAACCATCAATAAAATTTGTCTACACCCAGCAAGTTGTGGTAGTAATGCCTTGAGGGAAATACAGGTATTCCACAATGGGAGTACCTTAGAGAACATCCACTGCCAGAAACCAGGTGAGAGCCAGGAAACCCATTATCATGTGGACTGCCCAAAGAACGGAGGTATTTCCTGAAACTTTCAGAAAACTTAGAGAGAAGACAACTTTCAACAGAATGTGATTGAGGTTCATGTCGTTTTACTGAGAAGGAGAAAAAAGGGTGGCTCCGTAGAGCTGAGGGAGCCTCCAAATGAGAGAGGAGAGACATGTGCATTGCACTTTTCTCTAAAGATGTATCAGTCAGAATGGTGAATAAATGTCTCCCAGCAAAGGGAAAGCTTTAGCAAAAGGAAGAAAATCATCACTGAGGTGATGCTTTTCTACCCTCTGGGTGAATTGTAAGGAGCAAGAGATACCCACTTAGCTGTCTATATTTCCAAGGCTGGTTGGCTTCTAGATGAATCCCAAAGATTCCTGGCTACTCTCAATAGTTATATTATTTCTGAATAAGGTCCATTTTTGAGTCTGAAAACCCTAAGGAATTGGCTTTAATTTGGCTCTCCTAGGATCACCTCATTCTGCCTCTGGATGATCCAAAACCCGGGGAAAGAAACACACACACACACACACACACACACACACACACAGAAAAAATTTATCTCTACTGACATCACAACTTAATCAAACTCCTATGAAAAAATGTTATTTAACATGTGTAATTTAACATGTAATTTAACAGCACACTTTCTTAGATAAGGACCAGGGAATGTCTACGGCTTAACCTCCTTAAGGAAATCTTATAGTCTGGCTTTGAGGAACCAGGCTTCTCCCCACAGTTCAACCTCTTCCAATGATCTGTTGTTTCAAATTAGTCATTCTTACAGTGATGATTCCAGTAAAGCTTTTTTTCTGTTAAGCTGTGGTAAGTCAAAACGTACTTCAGAGAATACAAAGTCACCACTCTGGGGGGCGGTGGGGGCTAAGAAAAAAACATGGTTTTCTGTGTTTTCAGTTGTTTAAAAAGAAAGAAAACCTCAAACTACTAAACCAGAAGTGACCTTTTTTTTTAAAGTGGTCTACTTTGGGTTTAGCATTTCATAAAGGAACAATGATTGACTCTACTTTTGATGAGCACATTCAAAAGGTTTTGGGGTTTTGACATTCCTTGTGTTCCTTCTTAAAGAAAAATAACTAAAGGAACTGTTAATATCTCTTCCCTGAAACCAGTACTTAAAGCATAGTAAGCTACAACCCTGTGTTCAGAAAATCCTGAAGGCATCCTAGCAGAGCTCAGAGTTAGACAGATAAAAGTACCAGTAGTACCACAACTAGCTAATGGCATCAGTCATCACAGGATGCCCAGCACCATTCCTACTCCTCTTTGCTCTAATACCATTATCTAGGAGGGCCCACTGACCCAAAAAAATGGTCCCGCAAACTTCCTGTGACCATTAGAACTGGTGTACTTGGATGGATGGAGTCATATGAAGAAGAAATGGATGAGGAGAATTTCATTGTGAGGGTTGGGAATACAGACCGTCAGCCAAAAGAAGGGTGACTACCTCTCTGACTTTCTCCATGAAGTACCTGGTCAGAAACCTGACCACATAGAGCAGATAATCAACAGAAGAGTTTCAAGGAGAGCAGGTGACACGTTCCAACCTGGACTTTTAGTTTTGTTCATTAATTTATTCAACAAACATGTATTGTGTATCTTCTAAACGACAGTTTCAGCTTTAGTTACCTAGAATTTTTCCTCAACAGTCTCCCAAAAGCTCCTGGTAATGCTAGCGACCAAATAGCTCTTTCTTTTTTTCTAATTCTATGAGTTAGGGCGCACTATATTTTTTCATCTGTAGCCTCAAACCCCCATTGAATAATCTAGTCAAAGCTGGATAAACAAGCACACACATCCTTGAGGCAACACAATTATAGATTCACTACTCTGAGAAACATACCCATTGAAAGACTTTTGCCTTATAATGAAAGTTATTTAGTCAACAAATATTTATTGAGCACCTAATATGTGCCAGGCACTGGGTTAGGTAGTGTGAATACAGTGGTAAACAAGGCAGAAAAGGTCTTGCTTTTGGAGTTTTTTTCTAGCAGAAAAAAAACCCCAGATATTTTTAAGTGGTTAAACAAATAACAGGCAGATTCCTGGCTTTAAAAATGGAGCCCATGTATGTGGAGAAAACCTTCTCAGATGTTTGTCTCTATGGGGAAAATGAGAAATGCAGCCATTTCTGGAGGAAGAAGAAGGCTAAAGAAAGGTTTGGGTTTTTTTTTTGGTTTAGTTTGGTTTGGTTTATCTTTCAGTGACAGGGGATACTTGAATATATGTACATGCCGGTGGAAGTTATTTCATAGAGCTAGTTTGAAGATTTAGAAGAAAGAAGAAAATTTTTAAACAGGTAAAATAAGGAAGAGGAAATTAGTGCACACAGAAGGTCCTCTTCCTCCACCGTATCAGATGGAAGAAAGAGATCATTCAGATACAAGTGGGTTTGTGTTTTGGTGGTAAAAGTGAGGTTCCATGATGGGAGGAGGGGAGGAAGTTGGTTTATAAAAGGAAAAGACATGATGTAGTTGTCTCAAACAGTGAAAAAAACATGCTTACCAGGGAACTGGAGGAAAAGTGCTGGGCTGTGTTGAATGCCTATTTGAAATGTGTGATCACTAATGTAAAGCAGTGGTTCTCAGTCAGGAGTGATTTTGTCTCCCCACCTTCAGCCCGGGGACATTTGGCAATATTTGGTGACATTTCTGGTTATCACACATGGGGGCAAGAGCATGCTACTGGCATCTAGTCGGTAGAGGGCAGGGTTACTGCTAAACATACGACAATGCACGGACAGGACAGCCCTCACAACAAAGACTTGTCCAGCTCATAACGTCAATAGAACCGAGGCTAGAAAACCCTGATGTAAAGTGATGTCATATTTATGTATAGATCATCTCGGAAAAGCTACAGAAAGAGACAGTGATCCTCCTTGTGGGCAGAGATGGAGCCACAGGACAGGATGAGAAAAGGGCTTATTTTCATCCTATATCTTTGTGTACCTTTTAAAATTTGTGCTATGTGTATGTATTACCTATTCAAATCTATCAAAAGACAGAAATAATTCACTGATAAATAATTGATTTGGCCTTCCTTGGTGGTGCAGTGGTTGAGAGTCCGCCTGGCAATGCAGGGGACACGGGTTCGAGCCCTGGTCCGGGAAGATCCCACATGCCATGGAGCAACTAAGCCCGTGCACCACAACTACTGAAGCCCGTGTGCCTCTAGAGTTCGTGCTCCGCAACAAGAGAAGCCACCGCAATGAGAAGCCCGCACACCACAACGAAGAGTAGCCCCTGCTCACCGCAACTAGAGAAAGCCCGTGTGCAGCAACGAAGACCCAACGCAGCCAAAAATAAATAAATTTATTTTAAAAAATTGATTGGATGACTTAAGTAGATGATAGATAAAAATAAAAATAGTCAATCGGTTTGTGTCATTTTTCTGCAGCAACATCCGGCTGCTAGGATGCCAGCATAAAGAGAATGAGATTTTTACAAGAGGAAAACAGGGACGGTAACAGAGTATTTTGGAATTCAGGGTCTTTCCAAGGTACTGATTGTAACGACAGATTGTGGAACCTAAGCTGGATAGAGAAAAGAGTGAAGATAGAGAAGGAGCTGATGGATATATAAGAAAATGATAGCATTTATTAAGTAGATGTCACAACACAGTAAAATATATATACATATTTTTAGGAGAGAAAATGTTGGACCAACTGAGTTGGAAAAAGGACATGATGTTGTGAAAATAAGGTGTCTGAAATCAAATTCCAGAGGAGATGTTGTTATTTTTAATGATGAAAAAGTCTAGGGAGAAGTCATGGTAATGAGCATTTGGAGGAAATAGGAAAAGGTTATTGTGAGACCAAGGTGAGAAGGCAAGAAACCAGGTGTTTGAATGGATCCCTCAGAGCAGTGGCTTCTTCTGGAGAATGAAGTTCCTCCCATAGAGTGGCTTATTAATAATGGCAGACACTATTGTTTGACATTCTATGATGTGTTAGATACTATAAGTCCAAATCAGCCCCTTTTTGTCCAAAAAAGTCAAGTGATCTGCCCAGTGATTGCATAGTTAATAAGTAGAGGAACAAAGATTCAAATTCAGGCTTTTTAGTCCAAAGTCTGTGCCTTTTCCACTATGCCACATCTCTGCCCCCAGGAAAAGACAAATTGTCATCAGATCTATGGGAAGTTGGGTGAGCTTAACACTGGCAATAATATTGGCAATGGAAACTCTGGATAGTGGTAGATGGAGGGGAAAGAGAATATAGCGAGGAGAGGAGAGCCTGGCAAAGATGCAAAGATTTGCCTCACAGCTCTTCTCACCCTAGTAAATTCTTCTTAAAGTGGGCTTAAGTCATAATGAATGAGGAGGCCATGGAAGAAAGAAATAATAAGGAAAAACTCCAGATCTTAGTGATTTCCAAAAAGGACACTCATAATGTTTATCTGTATTTTAACATAGTTTTTGTTACATGTATTCTGTTCATTAAAAATGCACAAAATAGGGCTTCCCTGGTGGCGCAGTGGTTGAGAGTCCGCCTGCCAATGCAGGGGACACGGGTTCATGCCCCGGTCCGGGAAGATCCCACATGCCGCAGAGCGGCTGGGCCCGTGAGCCATGGCTGCTGAGCCTGCACGTCCGGAGCCTGTGCTCCGCAACAGGAGAGGCCACAACAGTGAGAGGCCTGCGTACTGCAAAAAGAAAAAAAAAAACCCACAAAATATATATAAATATTAGTTATATTATGGGGAAACAGCTTTAATAACTGACAATCAAAGAGTTTTGAGGACTATTAGAGTTGGTTGCCCAAAAAGCATTCAAAATCTACCACCAAATGCAGTCCATATTTTCCTAACATGTCCTTCCCAATCTCCACGTTCTCTCTACTTACGTAACTCTTCTAGTCACACGCGCGCGCGCACACACACACACCCCTACAATTGCACTGGAAATATACATGCTGTATAGGGAGTGGACTGAGTCCTCAAAAGATCTCCCTTGCTTCTCTGTTAGCATCACCTGATGGCTCAGGCTATGCATTTACAAGTAAAGATGCTGCCAGTGGGACACTGGCCTTTTAGTCTCTTTAGCTTATCATATAAGCCTAGTCCTCTTTTCCCACCCCTTATACATTCATGTTGCATCCATATACATGAAAGACAGCCTCCCCTGAGGTAGACAGTAGACCCACCCCAAGAGGTGAGTTAAAACGTGCCATTTTCAGTGTACCAAAGTGTGCTAGGCCACCTAAGATGAGTGTAGAACACCCTGGTAGCTGCTTTTCCCTGTCTCTGCAGCTTCACATGGCAGCCCAGAGTTTCGTGTTCATGTCCTCCTCCTGTCTGGCTCGTGGACCTTAGGTGAGATGAAGAACTGTAGAACTGCTGGACCCTGTGGTCTCAAGATCCTCTTGGTTCATGTCTTCTCTCTTGACCTCAAGTGGACTTAAGAAGACCCTCATTCAAGACAACATTCTCAGTGCCTATAACAAGAAACCATAATGGAGAGAATCCCAAAGTGCTTTTCTTAGAGCTTATATAAGCCAAAAAATGTCTTAGATTCCTCAAAATTGACCAGAGAGGGCTCAGATACATTGACATATAAATGGTCAGCATTGGTGAGATTGAACACAGCCCCCAGGTAGCTGCTGCGGGCCCACATCTGGCCAGTAGTGCAGTAGTCCATCATCTTCCCCTCCATGAGCACCAGGTCCTGGGGGTACCTAAAATTCCTCGTGTAAACCTTGTGGTTCAGGGGCTGCTTGTTGCAGGACTGACCCCGGAAGTACACTTTGGAATACACAAAATACAGCCCAGTTTCATTGATCACAAGGCTGCCCTTCTTATACTTCACCCCAGAGACCAGGGCAATTCCATAAGTGTCTTCCCATTCCAGAGGGATGGATCTTGAGTTGGGCTTGCCTGAAACCAAACCAGAGAGGAGCTTTCAGCCAGGAATGCTCATGTATCAACAAACCAAGCTTCCAAGGCAAAATTGCGGACCATGCCTTGAGCAAATGCTTTTTACCCCAAATGACATAGCCCATATTGAGCCAGGTGACGGATCAGGCCTGACCTGTTACTGAATTTCTTCACACCTTTATCAAATTGACGTCTTCAATTTTATCATCCACACAACTGGGACAATAGCATATACCCCTAATCAACTGCAGTGAGAAATGATTGGGATGATTTTAGCTCTCTGGAACAAAGGTTCAGAACTAGTACCAAAACTACTAGGGTTTGAAGTCCCTTCATGAGGTGAAAAATCAAATGAAAGGAACTTTGAAGTTCTAAAGTTGGGAAGGACCTTAGGGATCATCTAGTCCAATCTTTACCTGCACTAAAGATTCTTCAGTGTGGGCGAAAATCCCCTTTCATTTGTATCCCCACAGCATTATGTACATTCTTAAGCAGAGAATGCTGGAATTATTGCTTGTGCACCTGTCTTTCCCTGTTAGATTGTAAGCTCCTTGAAGGCAGGAGCCGTGTGTGGTTCATCTCCATGTCCCCCAGGCTTGGCACACAGCATGTGCTCAAGAAATGTCTGTTTATCTAAATTGGATCATTTTACAGCCTCTGCTGAAATAATTTCAGGGACAGCAGCATACCACTTTCCATGATACGTATCCACTTTTCAGATATTTGTGGACTTTACACTGGGAATGCCCATACCACCTTGCTATCAAATCGTTTCACTCCACTACACGACCACTAGTGCCAGGACCAGGCCTCCCCTCTCCTTTTTCTACTCATGGAGAAAGCAGAGTAAAGCTCTTACAGAAAACCAGGGAAACACGTACTAAAATAATTCATCATTCCCCATCTCCCCAGCTCTCATCGCTTGGATCTGTGCCCCAAATTCCCTAAGGGTCATTGGAATGAGTGAAAAGAGTGAGCTCCTTATGGGCAAGGATCACGTCATAAGCAGCTCCATTTCTCCAGTTTAGAACAGGGCCTTGCCCAGAGTAGGGGCTCAATGTGTGTGAGGTTGACCTGACTAGAAAGATGTAACTACTTTTGGGTTTCAAATACTGTCACTGGAAAGTATCAACTACTGCAGAGCACAGTCATGGAGACCAACCAGCTCTTCTGCTTTCTGCCAAAGGCTTTCCCAAGCCCATCTTCCAGATACAGACCTGTTAAATGAGCTGCCTTTCTCAGCTCCGTTTTCTCAGAGGATGGATTGGGGTGACCTGTTTCATAGAGAGATGAAAGATATATGTAAAAAATGACATAACAACTATTCTTTCTGTGGGACTCTAAGCAGGGCATTTAAATAAAAGAAGTTTTATAAGCATAAATGGCAACAGTCTAACATAGCCAACTCATTCAGGTCCAAATTGTAGGAATTACAACAGCCTGTATTTCAGAAACAGAGAGGTAAAAAGGAACTAAATTAAAATAGACACATGCATAAATTATAATGCTACAATAAAATAATAGAAAGCTTAGTTTATAAAGATGTGCCATATAAGCTATTGCATTTATAACTGGCCACAACTCTTTGAGGTAGAGATTACTGTCCCATCTTATAGACGGCAAAACGAGCTTAAAAGTTGGGTGACTTGTATACGTATAACTGAATCCCTTTGCTGTACACCTGAAACTAACACAACGTTGTTAATCAACTATACTCCAATATAAAATAAAAAGTTATTTCCTGATAAAAAAATAACAAGTTGGGTGACTTATCCAAGAAGACCTGTTTACTCAGTGTCAGAGTGGGACTGACACTCAGGTCTCCTGAGTCCAGATCCAAGGCTCTTTCCTCTCTGGCTCAGCTGCCCTTAGGACTCTGCAGGACAAAGCCTGAAGACTGCTAATCTCCAGGCCACTAGGTCTTCCCCAATGGCATTCTACAATCTGCCCCAAATAAATTATCCTAAGATCTCAAACACCTTGAATGCTCCTCATTGAACGTGTAATTATGTACAAGTGTCCCCAACCATGTGATCTCTGCCTATCTGTCCAGCCTTATCTTGCTTACTCACCCACACTAGACATAGCTGTACAACAGTTCTGAACACACCCAGCTTCCCTGCCTCTGTGCCTTTGCCCATGCTGTTCCTTCTGCCTGGGATGCCCTCCCAAACAGATCTCTGTGCTAAATTCCTATCAACCCTGCAAATACCATCTAAAATACCTCTTTTCTTGCGAAACATTCCCTAGCCTTTCTAATCAAATATGCTTGTTTCCGCCTTTGAAACCTAGAAGCACTCTGTCGTCACCTCTCTTGTCAGTTTTGACTCCCCTTTTTCTGTGGTAACTGTATAATTCATCTTACTCCCCAAATAAATGGCAAATTCCTTACTATATGTTTAATCCACCAGAGTAATTAGCTCGGTTTCTACCCCAAGGCATGTGATCAGTACATGTTTGCTAAATTAAATGGAAAGATTTAAAATAGACAACAGTTCTCAAAATAGGTACTAGTTCTCTGACTTTAGATATTTCAGTGGAATAGCTCTACCACTTAACTAATGAATTTAGCTAAGATGTTCAAGAAAGTTTCATAGAAAGGCACTGATCCACATCAGGCTCTTCATGATTAGCCTGTAAAACTCTATATGGCCTGAGAGTGCTCCAATCAGCTGAGGATATGATGTAAGCAATGATTACCTCTGTAGCCACCCAAGACCACCCACCGTGAACGAGGTGAGGTGTTAGTGAACAGGAAAGGCAAAACTGAGTCTCTTCTATATTCCTACACCACAAACCATCTGTGCAGCTGATCTGGCATTCAGCCATGAACTGACAGGAAATGGAACAGAGAATCACATGTTGTATATCCCTCGCAGTGTTATTCTCATAGAAGGTACTCAATAAAAATATCTGCTGGATAAATGATGGAATAAATAAAGTAGAAATATATCCTATATTTTGGTGATGACTGTAGCCTGCTCCAGTGTCTCTGCACATGCCATTCTCAGTGCTGGAATGATGTTCCCAACCTCCTACCCACCCATACACATACACACATCCACATTAACAACACCTCCTTAGAGGGGACTTTGCAGACCACTCAATCTTAAGTCACACTTAGCACAACTTAAAAGTTTGTTGTCTGTTTGCTTGCTTTTGTTTATCTTCTCTAGGGTGCTAACAGCTCCATGAGGGCAAGCCACTTGTCTCTCATTCTGTCATCACCCACTACCCAACACCCAGCCTGGCACACAGGAAATACTCCAAGAACATTTGTGAATGAATAAAAGATTTAATGAGTTAACTGTGGAAAAATGAAAGTGAACCAAATAAGAAAGTTTAAATAACCTACAATAGTACCTTCCAGAGAAAAATCACAGTTAACCTGTTGGAGTATAAATCCTTCTAGATGTTTACTAAGAATATAAAAATATGCATATGCCAATATTAAACTAAACACACTGCTTTATAACTTGTCTTTTATCCAACAATATAGAATGCACAATCTCTATAGCATTAAATGTCCTTCTAACATATAGCTTTTAGTTGCTGCGTATTATGCTCTCATCTGAATACACTGTAATGTATTTAACTAATTTCCTATTAAGAAGCATTTAACTTTCTTCTGACTGGTTTATTATAAATAGCCTTATAAGGAAGTGATGAACATCCTTATTATAAATTTTCAGGCACATTTTGATTATTTTCTTAAATAATAAAGCCTTAGTGATGAGATTACAAGGTAAATTAACAGTTTTAATCCTGTGATATTTTTTTCCCAACTACTCTTTAGAAAGGTGTAGCAATTTACATGCCCACTGACTCTCAACTGTTGAAGCAGACCCTTTTCTCTCACATTTTTGCCAACCTGGGGTTTTGTGGTTTTTTTTAAACTTCACTAATTTGATGGATAAACCTGGGTATCCCCCTTGTTAAATTTGCATCTCTTAGCTCATTAGTAAAGTTGCTAATTTGATTTCTGTGTGATAATTCACCAATTTCTGGTCCATCTGGGTTGATCTAGGAAAGATACTTGATACTTGTTTAGTGGGACAAGTGGACCTGACTTATCTGTTCACTTGACTTTTAATTACTAAAATGACTCCAGAAAGTGGGTGAACGATGAGTAATTAGGTACCCATTTTACCAGCCACGTTCCACTGATTTTCAAATCTATCTTATTTTAGAAATCCTCCAGAGGCTTTATTTTTCTAACAAATGTTTTTACTCTGCTTGGGTACATCTGGAATTTCTAACTCTTTAGGGACTCAGACCCAGAACTAGAAACCAGAGGGTCCTATGGATGGCTCCTACAAGAGCCTACCTGCTAGGGCAATAAGGTGACTTGGGTCTCTCAGGCATATCCTAAGAAACTGGAACAGCCTCCCCTTACTGGGTAGCCAGTGCTGTCTTCTGTTTTATTCCCAATTTCTAAGGACGAGATTTAACTATTGTCTTTGCAGAGGCATCTTGCTTGTCATCTTTATTCTCATTCCATGGCCATCAGAAAAAGACAGGAGTTTCCCTGTGTCGTGAGGCACCACAGCATGTACTGGGAAGCACTATAAGCGACAAGGCGTTAGGAGCCTATGTTCCTTCACACCAGTAGTGTTGGGCACATCACCTAATCTATCTGGTGTTTTGTTTCTCTTCTGAAAAATGAGATGACTGGACCAGATGTTCTCTAAGCTCCCTTCCAACTCTTACCCAATCTAAAGTTCAGTGACTCTTAGTTTAATGAGTTGCAGTATTCTAAATCTATCTGTCCACAGTTTCCAAAACTATGTCCTGAAACTTTAGAAGGTCAACGTTCAACATTTTCATCTTCTTCCCGTCCTGGATCTCATACACAGGTTTTTCCTTTATTATCAAAGGTAGCTCACGATTGCCTCTGTGAGTGAAGTGGGACTACCCTTTGAATAATGGCAAACGTCTTCCTCCAAGCTTTCCAGCGGCTGCAAAAGAACCATCCTAATGGGGATGATTGGTTGCCCACTTTCTAAAAGCTTAAATATATCCTATGGAAAAATTTTAAATAAGGTCTGACTCTTAACTAATCTCTTATAGAGATTAAACAGGAGAGCACGGGTCTTTCCCAGCAGCAGCTTTCTCTGCCTTTACCTCCCCTTCTCTCCCGAGAAGTTATAGCCACAGCCCTGTGCATGGGAACCAGGAGGCCTGAGGAAGGGGACAGGCCTGGAGCCAACTGCTAAGGGGCAAAGGTCCAGGGTTGTATATGTGTGTTGCTTTTTCCAAATTCAAGCAGAAATTATTTTTACTTTTGTGTGATACTCAGCTACACTAATTTTGAACAATTAAATTCACTTCATATTTTAGGGCAGCTCAAAGAACCAAAATGACCAGAGATTCAGCATTGGTTAGGATTCCTCTTTCATAGTATACATATGCCCAAGAATGAGATGGAATTCAAGGCATTCCCCCAACATGGTTCAGCGCTAAGGACTATCTTTCTAACTCATGTACACGCATGAAAGGACTCACCTATTTGCTTCTCCAAAGACGATTCTGTATGCCTTTGGCTGGTGGACTGGTGAAACAAAAAGAGAAAAGGTATATAATAAATATGAAGTTCTTTAAGCAAAGGAGGCAGAATTGTCAAATAAACTAAGCACTGGAAAGGGAATCTAAACACCTTAGAACCTCTGCTAACTCAGACTCCGGCCAAGTTGTGCCTCTCCATGCCTCAGTTTTGTGATTTGGAATAGTTCCAATATTTTTAAGTATTTTCAAGGAAATTTACTTTGTCCATTTGAACAAATTCACTTGTAAGCATGATTCCAAGTTCCTTTTCTTTCTTGAATCACTGAGTATAAGGTAGGTAGCAGCCAACTGAGAAAAGAACTCTAGTTACCAGTCCTAATTTGGCTCTGATCCTTCCCAACATAGATAATATTCCTTCCACTCATTTGAGCCCCCATTTCTCTGCATAGAGAACAGGATGGCTAGAGTGATTCATTTCTAAGACAGGAAAAAAGGATTGTGACGTACTTTGCAAGCAAGACTGTGGTCCACATGGATCACTGTTACCTTCCTCCCTCCACTACAGCAGGGCTGTCTCACACCCATGCTTTCAGGGCACAGCAACCCACAGGGCAGCTTACCTCTCTGAGTTCGGCCAGTTCCTTCTGCAGGTGGAAGAGCTGAAATAGTCCCAGTCCCAATCCAACCAGGGCCACCAGAACCATGAAAAACATCACAAGGAGACACAGGCCTGTGTTGTGGCCCCTCCTCTTCTTCAGAGGTGGTGGTAGTGGCGGTGGCCTCCTTTGCCCGGGCCTTCCTGGCACAGAGGACGGACAGGGGAAGACTGACCCTGGAGAAGCCCAGGGGGAGCTGGCACTGCTGTCCACCCAGAAAATCTGGGGGTACGGGTAATTCAAGGGCTGCTGCATGGCAGCCAGTGCCTCGGGCTAGCCCCCAGCCAAGGGTTTTTCTCCTTCTCAATCCTGGGGAGTCCCGGGTGTAAAGGATGGGACTCCTGTTTCTGACTGCTCGAGAGAGAGGAGCCGGCTCTCTCTTTATAGAGTTCCCAGAACCCAGGGAAACACCTCTCTTTTGTTCTTTCTTTCCCCCTTTCTGCTTCTCAAAGAGACACCCACTCGCTTTGCATCTGAAGCTGAGAAGCCTCAAGAAGCTCAGAGCAAACCCGGGGCAGTTTCCGCCCACAATCTACTGATAAAAGCTTTCAAAACCCCAATTGCTGCTGCCTTGCTGCCTGAAAGGCTGGTAGGGCGGGCTCGTCTCCTCAGGCCCCGCGAGAGCAGGTAGCAGCAGCACAGCCCTGTCGACTTCGGCCATTGCCCGGCTATGGGGAGAGTGGCCAGTGGGGCTCGCTCAGGCACTGAGGGGCGAGAGCACGGAGTCGTGGCCAGGGAAGCCGCTTCTATGTCTCACCTTTTGCAGGAGGGAATCGTCCCCCTGCTGCCAGCCCTTCCCCACACCCAAATACTATTCACCCCGACATAGCAAAGCAACATAATTTACAGGTTACAAACCTGCTCCACCCACTTTGTAGAGGTCAGATCAGAGGTTACAAACCCATCACCCATATGCCTTACGGAGCCCACAGACCTGCTTTGCTTATGCCTCACAAGTGTTCTTTCTACTGATTGTCCCCTTTAAAAATGTGGATATTCCATATATTTTTAAATTTATATTATCTTTATATTATGTTTTGAACCGCTAGACTATTGGACCGTCTGGAGACCCTCTCTGCACAACCAACCAGCTGGGCAGCAGCTACTCTTGGGGATGGGACACAGATGTTCCAGGCTGCCCAGCCTGCACACCTTCCACTATATTTCTCACGCACCTCACTGTGTGAAACGGCTTTCCTGGTCCCTGTAGGTCTTTCAGTTTGCCATATCTGTTATGGTCGTCAGATGGCGCCCAGTTAAATTTGGATCTCAAATAATAACTAGTTTTTAGGATAAGTACGTCTTAAACATTGCATGGAATATAGTAAAAATGACTCCATTTTTATCTGAAGTTCAAATTTAACTGGTTATCCTAATTTTTTTTTTTTAACTAAAGATGGGACTCTACCTAAACTTATTTCACATTTTCTCTGGCTTCGAATACCATTTACAGTAATTTTCAAGTGCTCAGCTCCACATAAGTCATATAAACCTCTCATAAATCCCTATTTTCCATTTTATTAAAGGGTTCTGCCTTTGAAGTTTCATCAGTTGTTATATCATGTTTTGGCATTTCTATGACTATCATTCTGGTTCTCCACCTGAACCAAACCAACACCAAACTTATTTCCCTGCCCCATTCTGCCCACCCCCGTTCCCAATACAACCCGTTTCACCTGAGGTCACTCTTTATGGTGACAAATTCCACTCCACCTCTTCCCCTCCTCCAGCATTGCACTAGTCACGCAGGACTGTCGATTTTACCTGAGCCGTGTTTGTCACATGAGCACGCTCCCTCCCTACTGTCATTGCCTGAGGTCAGACTTTTATTATCTCACCTGAAATATTGCAGTGATACTCTAACTGGTTTCCAGGCCACCAGCCTTTCCCAAGCCCAAGTCACCCTGTATAATGCTGCAAGAATGATGTTTTTAAAAACATATTCAGTTATCTCACTTCCTTGCCTAAAACCTTCTGTCAGAAAGTTTGATTCTGGGAGTGGTCCAAATGCCTTAGTGTGACACACAAGGCAGTCTGTTGAAATCAGACTCCAACATCTGTCACTATCCCCTTTCCAGGCACTTCTGCCCACATCCCAGTCTCCATGCATGAAACAGGGAGACAGATGAAATCAGAATGACTGCACAATGTTCTCACTCTCTTTTACAGATGGGCAGAGGTTACGTGTTTTAGAACTCACATACAGCTTTCTTCATAGTCGTGAAAAATGATGTTTATAATTAATAATCAGAAAATATAATTTTAAGAATTCCACCATATGTACAACCAAAAGCACAACCCTTAAAGTATCCTGAAATAACTCTTAATAACAACTGAATAGAATCATATTTTTTAAACTATAAAAATTTTCCTAAAAATGACAAATATTCAGATAAATGGAAAAAATACACCATATCCTGGATGAGGAGGATAGAAGGAAAGTGTCACATGATGGTTAGGGTGTGTGCTTCTGGAGTTAAACTGCCTGGGTTCAAATCCCAGTTCTTCCATTTATTAGCTGTGTGAACTGGACAGGTCACTTTCCCTCCTCTGTGCCACAGTTTTCTCATCTATAAAAATGGGCATGATCACAATAGTACCTATTTCATAGGGCATTATGAAAATTAAACGAGTCAAAACATTTGATACACTTAAAATAGTCCTCAACATCAAAGTAAGCACTCAAAAAATGTTGCTGTTCTTGCTGTTGTAAATACAGTGTATCTTCCCACAAACGATTCATCTGTAGACTTCATGTAATTTACCTTCTTTCACTAAGGATAAAAGAAGGTAGAGGGGGTGGAGATGGGGGAGAGATGTTGCAGGGAAAAGTACAAGTCAATGTCTGACATCAGTATCTGAGTGGTTGAGTCCCTTGACACCATGATGATCTTACCCTATGTCCTCATCTCTACTTGGTATTATCCACTTTTCTAATTTTTACCAAGTGCTAATATTTTTTCTGATTTCTTGTGAGGTTGAACATCTTGTCATATTTTTGTTATACAAATGTTTTCCCTTTTGTGTATATTTCCTGTTTTGTACACCATGCCCATTTTTCAATTGGGTTTCTTATCTCTTTGTGTTTATTCACAGGATTTCCTTGTACTTTATATTCTAGATATTAATCTATTGTTACTTTTAGACATTGAAAATATGTCACACCATCGCAGATTTCATGTATAGGCTTTAACCTATCTGGAGTTCATCTTTGTTTGTGGTATAAAAGAGTTCATCTTTGTTTTTCTCCATGTATGAACCAGTTTTCCCAACACAATCTATATTTTCCCCAACTGAATTACAGTGGTATATTTATCATATATGAAGTTTATACATGTAGTCGGGTCTTTTTCTGGGTTCTTATCTCTGTTTCATTGATTTATTTCTCTATTCCAGTACTAGGGTCACACAGTTTTCACAATTATGGCTTTCTAAAATGTCTTGAGAGCTAGAATGGTAAATTTTTCCCTCTTTGATCTTCTTTTTCAAAATTGACATAACTATTTGAGTATATTTAATCTCTCCTATATGTATTAGGAAAAGAAAAACTATCATGGTCTTAAAATGTTCTACTGGACTATTAACAGTAATTGCACTAATTTAGGGGAAGTGTTTTCTTTACAATGTTTTTGCCCTATCCACAGTTTTCCATGTGTTCTTTATGACTTTTAAAATTTTTCTTCAGGATGGTCTTATCCATTCTTTCTTAGATTAATTGCTTGATACTTTGTAATTTTGTTGTGATTATAAATGTTGTAATTTTCTGTGGCATTTTTAGATTCTGCGGTAAGCAACCTCTAAGATGACCCCAGTGGACCCCCCCCCCACCTCCTGGTATTCATGCCCTTTCATAATTCCCTCCTCTTGAGTGTGGGCTGGACCTACTGACTCACTTCTAACTAATAGAATACAGTAGAAGTGTTGGGATAGCACTTTCCAGATTAAGTTATAAAAAGACTGCAGCTTCTGCATTGCAGATGGCTGCCTTCTCATTGTATCCTCACATGGTGGAAAGAGAGAGGAAGCAAGCTCTCTCCTGGCTCTTATAAGGGTAATAATCCCATTCATGAGGGCCCCACCTTCATGACATCACCTAATCCTAGTTATTTTCAAAAAGCCCCACTTCCTAATACCATCACATTGGGACACAGAATTTTAAGTTATGAATTTGGGAGGGACACAAACATTCAGTTCCATAACACCCACCTAAACCAACCTTGAATTCCTGACGACAGGAATTTTAAGATAAATATTTTTTATTTTAAGCCATTACGTTTTGGGGTCATTTGTTATGCAGCAATAGATAACTATTACAGATGACTATAACTGGTTTAAATAAATGTTCTTCACTTTGTAACAAATAATCTTGAATCTTACAAACTTGTGGAACTCTCTTTTTATTTCTGATAGTGTGTCTATTGATTTCTGGGGTTTTTTCTATATAGATATACATTATCAGTGGACAAAATGAGAAGTTCTAATCTTCCCTTCCAATCCTTATGCCTCATTCTTTTACTTTTGTTTTTGTGTTGTCTCAAACCTCAAGAAGAACTATATAAAACAGTAACTGTGATTGTGGGTATCTATGTCTTGTCCCTAATCACAAAGAGACTGCACCTAAAGTTTCTCACAGTAAGTATGATGTTTTCCTAAGGATTTTGCTTTTTATATACCACTTTGGTCAATAAAAGTTTCCTATTGTATCATCAGCATCTCATCAGCACACAGATGAAACACAAATTAGAATAGCTTGAGAAGGACTTAATAAAAAGGACTGTTTACAAACATAGAGGTAAGGTGTAGGGAAATCAAAAAGGATAGTATAATATTCTAGCAATATTATAAGGAACAGGGTCGTTATGACCACTAGTCAAGGGGAAAGGTAAGCTACTGGAACCTAAGAAGGAGAGAATTGTGTGGAGAAGACAGCCTAAACAGGAATTGTGACTTCCAGTCAAGAATTGCAGCCAGCCCTAGATGAGCCTGGAGAATGAATACCCTGTCCTACCACCTTCCCCCTTCCCTCCTGCTGGGGCTCCACACTAGGCAAATTCAACCCAAAGCCAGAAGGTGAGGAAGTCCATTGATGTAGTCCATACAGGGTAAATTCACAGGAGAGAGAGCAAAATAGAGTCCCATTCCCCACCACCACCTTCATCATGTTCGTACTGCCTAAAATTTTAATTCTGGCTTGTGATAGAGTCTTTTGGTCCCTTTTTACCAATATTTAAATGGTAATTTAATTGGATATATATTTCCGAATCTGATGTTCTTTATCTCTCTTTTTTTCAAAATTTTGCAAATATTACTCTTTGTCTTCTCACATCCAGATTAGTGAGAAGTCTGTGGTCAAACCAACTCCTATTCTTTTTAGGCATTTTTCTTTTTCCCCTCCAGAAAGTTTCAGAATATTCTCTT